CTTTAATTTCATGTACCTATTAGGGCTGGTCCCCATAATCCTACCTAATACTTTCAGATGGCGATAATGCCAAGATTTTCGGGAAGAAAGGGAAGATTGCTGCTCAGTTTCTTTTTGCTACCAAATCCAATTATCAGGGTTAGATGACATGGTGATCAAAATGCCTCAGCCCGGTCTATGTCACAGCTGCCACTGCTGATACCAGTGCACAGGAGGTGCACTGCTGGTCAGTTACACACACCCAGTAAATAACACCCTATAACTATCAAAATGTTATGCAAGGCTTTCCTAACCACCCACGAAGTTGGGATCTAGTCCCACTATTAATATGGGTCTAGATACAGCTAGAGAGAGAGCCCTAGCTACTGCACTGAAGGAATATTTACAGGACAGCAGAAGCATAGACAAGTAAGACAGTAACACCACAACTTGATTAGGTAAATTAGTGTGTATGATTATCACAACATGCTAGAAAAATATTTTGAAATCCTGCAAGAAGTCAGCAACACTCAACACAACTGTTCTCTGGTCATATCTGTCACAACAGATAGGAAATTCTCTAAACAGAAAGTCCAACATCTGCTCTGCATTACCATTTGTTTTACAACAACTCAAACCTTCTCACAACACAAGTAATTTTCTAATCTTCATCAAAAGGGACTTGCATAATAACTAAAATTTCTCCAGTCATACATGTTTATAAAACTCTCCTGAGAGTTTAGGGAGAAAAAGATTAAGACAAGCACACTAAAAGGAATGTTTGAAACCCACATGAGGCAGGGAAGTTTATGATTAAATGTCATCCTGACCTCACCCCTCTGTGCCTAGGTTTGCACCAAATATATACAATTACATACTGCTCACAAAGACAACAAACATAGGGGTTAGTTATGAACAGGATCTGTAATTTATTGTATTCAAATTTATTGTAATTCAGAGTCAAGTTTTAATGTATTTGAATTCCAAATTATGAACTGAGTTATATTTCACATATATCATTGGTTACTTGGGTAATGTAACTACTTGAAATAGGGCAATTTGGCATCTGTTCTTTAACTTTTTTATTCAATTGTAAAAATGAACAAAGATTTTAGAATCAACTACAAGTCTATTTGTGTATTTCAACTATAGTATTCTAGAGAACCAATTAACATAATTATTAAATAGGTTTGAGTTCATCTGTTTCTTGAAGATAAGTGCTTTAGAAAGCTACAATTCTGAAAATGCAAGCTTAATATATTTTTTCAGTGTCCAGTTTCTGACGAGTGTGAAATCTTCACTTGGGAGCGGAGGATGAATGGGTAGTGGATTTTTTGGGGGCTAAATTAAAGGGACACGGTCAACTCCAATTTGACTCCAAGTGTAGCTTTTGTGCAAATTTTTACAAAACATAAGGCCAACAGAAATACTCCCATGATCTAAAAAAAATTAGTTCCCATGGAAAGTTATTTTTAACACATACATGTGCCTTTGCAGGATTTGCAATCCAAGCACAACACTGGAAGGTGTTAGTGACAATAAACAATGAAACTGGCTTCACTGATTTTCATTCTTTAAGCGGAGAGAAATGCTGACATAAATTAACAGCATCAGTAGTGAAAAATAAATTGGATTTTTAAATTTCTTTCAATTTTAATAATGTAAAGTGTTCTTGCAACACACAAAAAAGCTGTTTGAATATACAGTACAATTTTTAACTTGAGTGTTCCTTTTTAAGTTCCCTTTTCAATTACTAAGCAAACTAAGAATTAATATTCATTGACAACCTTAGCTGAGAATTTCCAAACTTCTGCATATCTAAGTTTTGCATAATGTTCTCTCAGCTGTTTTTATAAGTGGGAAATTGTAGAAGTCTAAACACAGTGAAGTCTACAATTGAAGAACAAGATTTTCAGCCAGATATTTAATTTACTTTGTGTGTTACCAAAGTAAATGATGCTTCTTAAAGTGATAGACCAAGCTAGCAGAAGAGACTACAAGAGCTCCCTCTCGTAATACCTGTGTTCCCTTTGGGCAAGTACAAGGCACTGTCAATCCATAGTACTAACATTAAATGGGGGTCTGGATGAAATAAGAGATAGTTTCATTCTGTGGCTTTGAAAAGGGGGATACATTAATATACCTTATCGTTATGGAAAAAACTGCATGTGCAGAAGTAAATTTTCAGACATTTATTTGTTAAAAAACAATATTGCAACTAGTATCCTGTGCCACAAATTTCAAACTCCTAACCAGAGAAAATAGAATATTAGAAACTGGGTTTTATAACCTGAAACAACTCTATAACAGCGTAACAGACACTACCGAAACACTTGTTTGCTGTAGATGAGAATGCAATCACTATAATAAACCTGCATTAGTAATAAAGGTGTTAAGAGGGTGGAGTATGCCAGAGAAGGAGGCATCTACCTGAGAATCCACACACGCACCCCAAAAGGTCAACCTATCCATCTGTTAATCTTGGAAGTACCCTATAATATATTATGCCTGTCCAACAGGACATTTGGATAGTCCTAAGGGGGTATACTGCATGCCACTGGAAGACCTTGGTCCACTAACAAAACAATGCTCTTCAGAGATTTCTCCCATAATGAATTGGCAGAGCAAAGTAGTGTTTCCTCCCCAACTCCTCCAGAGTTAACCTGTAACCACCAAATTTGTACCCATGTAAGGGCAAACATAATCATGATCTCCTTCAGCATTTCCCTCCTTCCCTCCCAAATTCACATGACAAGGAGATCAGGCAAGTGGGATAGTATTGAACAAATCTGCACAAGCTTGCAAGTCAAGAAGGTCCCCCACCACATCTATTGGAAGGGCTCCAAGCAAGCGCCTCCTGACCATTAAAACGTTATGGCCTCATCCTCCCGTCCCTACAGTTTGAGCCGACTCACCAGGTGAAGGCGCCAGTGTTAAGTACAACCCCTGACCACAGGCCAATGTCAGCAGTTCTTTCGTTCCAGATTTCTGACACAAGCTGGACAGGCTGCCCACACTCAGAGCACGACCTGGGCCCGGAGAGCTTCTGCAGGGATGAACTGGGAGTGCATTTTCCCCTCCCCGCAGGCTATTCTCTCAGTGGCCTGCCCGCCGGGTTGAGCTATTCCCCATTAAGGGTTGTTTTTTTTCCCCCAGACCCCCTACAGGCACACACGTCCCTGAAGCTGGCAGGGAGAGGAGAGGGGAAGGGAGGGGGCTCAGATCCGCGTCAGCCCGTCGGCGCTGGGAGCAGGCGATGACGGATCCCCCACGGCACTGGGGCAAGGCAGGTCCCGGTTTTCCTGCCCGGTCCCGCACCGCGGAGCCGCCTTCTCCAGGGGCGGGGGCTGCTGCGGCACTGCCGCCCTCAGCGGAGCCGTGCGCCGGCCGCCAACGCGCCCCTGCGGCCGGTGCCCGCTCCGCAGCCAGGCGCGTGCCAACGCACTGCGGGAGCGCGGAGCCGGGCTGCGGGCAGCGCTGTCGCCGTCGCCCCCGGGGCGAGCCTCCAGCCGCCTTCTCCGACCCTGCGCCGGGCCAGGGAGACCCCACCTGCCCGCCCGCCCGCCCTCAGCGGCACGCTCCGGCCAGCAGGCGCCGCTTCCCAGCCCGCCCGGACCGCGGCCCCCGGGGGCAGCGGGGGGAAGGAAGCGGGGGCACCAGCCCGGCTCGGGGGCAGGGGGGGAAGCGGGAGGTGCCAGCCCGGCTCGCGGCCCCCGGGAGCAGCCGATCCCCCGTGCCCGGGGTCCCCGGGGAGCTGCCCCACTTGCCTCACGCCGCTCCTGCGCCCAGGCTCCCGGCGCTAAGCCATGTGCGGCGGGTCCATCTCCCGGCCCCGCTTCTCCTCCCCGAGGGCGGGCTCTGCGCTCCGGTCCCGTGGAGCGGCGGCGGCGGCGGCTGGCCCCTGGGCAGCTCCTCCTCTCCGCCCTAGAGGCAGCCACCCGGGTTACTCTGCCCAAGGCGGGAGCGGGGGTGGGGTGGACATCGGCTCCTCCGGCTGCCAGGTCCATGAGAAGCGAAGGTGGGGGGGGGGGGTGTCAAAAGCTACCCGCTCTCGCCACCCCTCTGGGAAGGAATAATGGTGCGCTCCGAAGTCGGTTATAAATCTCCCTGGCAGCGATTGGCTGCGATGTGGAGACCGGCGGGAGGGTGAGAGCTCGGCTGACCAATAGGACAGAAGGAAGCCGGATCAAACCCTTGCAGCAGGCCAATGCGGTAGAGATTTAAAGTGCCAGTGCGCCTTGTGGGGCAGGCCCGTGGAGTTAGAGTAGATACAGGTGACAGGAGTCCGGGTGTCTGGAAACGTCACCGGGACTGTCAGCGGCACGGGGCAGCCCGCTAGCGCAGGGTGCAACTTTTAAAGGCTTGGGGTGACATCCCCTCCCCCCCCCCTTCACCAGAGAGCTCAGGGCTGTTCTCCACCCCTGGGAGACAGAGCCAAGAGCCTTGAACCCTTCACACAAAACCTCTAGCACACACCGCTCTCTGCGGGGCGCGAGGGCAGTAACCAAACAAGCAGCACCTAAGCTGAGGGAGGGCGTCAGGCATAGGAGCAGCAGCCAGGAATGCCTCCGTCCCACACCCGGCTGTCACTGACCTGTGGCTTTGGGCAAGTCACAAAGTTTATTTCAGTTCTTCCCTCTGTAAAAAGGAGATAATCTTACCTGCAGCCTAAGCCTACTGGGAAGGTTCCCACATTTTTGTAAAGCCCAAGCCCTTGGGATATGAAAAACAGTCCCCCCGAATTGTAAATATTATTACGGTGGAGGTTAGGTGAAAGCTCATTGAAACTGGTGGGCATAACCACCACCCTCCAGTAAGGATAAATATAAAAAACAATTAATCTCCTTCATGGAATAGAGATTGTTTCAGCTATCAGAAGCCACTGCCCAAAACACAGGCCACGTATAAGGAGGTGAAATATATGGTCTGAGGGGTTTTCCTGGACTTGTTGCCAAGGCAGAAAGAGCAGAAATACTATAGAAGCAGACAGCGAATGCAACAAGGAAGACCCACACCCTTACCTTCCTCCCCGCCAGCAGCTGAAGAAGCACTTATAGTGGGACCTTGAGAAAAAGGGAAGAGAAACAGCTTTTAGGAAGGAGTGCTGGATGAAAAGAGGCTTGGAACTGTGAATAAAGAATATCTTCTGCTATTTCATTCCTATTGTGTTCAGAGCAACAGGATTGCATCAGAGAAATACCTCACTCCAGCCTCAATTTCACCTAATGGAAACAACTTGCACTACCCTGACTTTTGCCTAACTGCTCCAGTCAAGGGAGTTAACATCATTACTGGAAGGGCAGGGTAATTATACATTCCAATTATTTAAGAAAGTGTAAGAAGAGCCTTAGCCTCAATGGGGTATTTTAGGTTTCATGATTTAGCCTTTCCACCAAAAGTGGCACCCAAAATTCAAACACTCCTTTTATTCCCTTACAGAACACCCTGGATTTATTCATAGCTTTTACTGTGCTGTTTTAGTTCACCCTTTATCATAGCAGACTTGCACCTGGGATGGCTTTTATTGCCTAGATCGCGGAACTCACTCCCACATGGTACACATTTCAGTCTCTCCCTACTTTTATAAACCTAAACCTTTTAGAAATGTGGTTTTACTATGATCACTTGTGGCCCCATATTTACTACCTTTCCCCCTTGTAATGTCCTGACAACATCCCTTCCAAGTTCTTGACCAAGCTTTTGGAAAACAGAAGAAAAGCTGTAACCCACTAAGAATCCCAGAGCATGCTAGGACAGAACTATGGAAATTTAGTCAGTGCCATGTGAATATTCCTACAGTGCAGACATTATCAGTGAAGCTCAGTTATTTACTTCAATGAAGATTTTCGGTGCTTAGATTTTAGGAGTTCTCAGTAACCTTGGACAAACCACCTACCTCTTTTCTCCTTTATTCTTGTATTTGGTCTCACTCAATTGGTTTTTGTTTCTTGCCTTTTTAAGTGGTGAGGTTTTTAAATAGTGTTTTCTTCAATAAAATCTTCAGTAAGATGAACCATATAATGCCTATTCCTACTCAAAAAGAGGAAATTATTAACAGAATATATTATGGGGCTGATTCTCTTTTCATACCAGGGTAACGCCATTGACTCCAGTGAACTGATTTCTGATTTACACCAAGGTAAGAGAGAAGAGACTCTAGGCCCTATTTTAATAATGAAGAACCCAGTTTTACAAAACAAGCACATGGAGCAGGTGATGGGCAACGTGATAAGAACAGAATAGATTTCCTGCCTTGTGTTAACTCCAGTGGAAGATGTGAGATACCCATCAGGGTGGCTTAACATATCTAGCTGCCATACAAAGAGCATGGAACAGGTAGTGCTGGAGGGTTTTATGCATTTTCTGTATGTATAAACTATAGAGGAATTGGAAGGTGCTATTAGAGCAAAGACAGCATGAGACTGACACACAACACCAAAGCACCATTATATCACTTGACTATGTCCCCCATTAAGCAGAATTGTCATCTCCTTTAGGCAATGCTCATTTTTAAGTGCCACTGAATTTACATTGGTGCCCTGTAGGAGGTCTTAATTAACTGGGATGTACTTAATGGTGTGTATTGCCTTATTTTATGAATGTCATACAGAACCCCGAGTGCCTTGATGAGGAGGCACTTTATAAACAGTTATTTTGTTGTAATAAAAGTATTATGCATACAAATCAACAGTACCCTGCAATCACTATGAGACCTGATGACTTCTAACCAGTACACCAGTGAAGCTGAAGGACGATGTGATCAAATCTAGCAACAAACTCCTGTAGCTGCTGTCTTCTATGCCAGCTGCAGCCTGTTAACGACCGTGCTCATCAAAGTTTTGTCCAGTTCAAGAGATAACCAAGCGAGCTAACAAAATGCTAAATGTATGCAGAGTTGATGTAGCCACTTTGGTCCCAAGATATTAGAGAAACAAAGTGGGTGAGGTAATATCTTTTATTGGACCAACATCTGTTGGTGAGAGAGAGACACTTTCGAGTTCCCCAGAGCTCTTCTTCAGGTCTAGGAAAGATACTAAGAGTGCCACAGCTAAATACAAGGTGGAACAGACTGTTTAACATCAGTAGTTAGCATATATTCTAAGGGATCATTTGAGGTGAAGCAGCCTGTTAACATGGGACAAAAAGGGGGCTAGTGGTTTATAGATTGTTGTAATGAACCATAAATTCAGTGTCTTTATTAAGACCGTGATTTTTGATGTCAAACAGAGTTATGAATTTAAGCTCCCAGGCTCGTCTTTTGAAAATGTGCAGGTTTCCTTTGAGAATGAGAACTGATTGATCACTCTATATCTGCCCTCTTTGTGAAAAGTGTTCGCCCACAGGTGATATCATGATTTTGTCTTTTATCACTTTCCTGTGAGAGTTCATTCCAGAGCATAGAGATTGTCTGGTTTCCCCCAGATAGTTGTTATTGGGGCATTTAGTGCACTGGATGAGGTACACCACATTTGTGATAGGCATGTATAGGGCCCATGTATCTTGAAAGGTGTGTTGTGAGAGGTGTTAATCATAGTAGCAGTAGAGATATGTCTACTGTTTGTGCATCTGTTGTTCTAGCAGGTTCTGGTGCCACTCTGAGTTGGTGTCTCTTGGCCTGTGGGGAGCTTGCTTCTGATGCTCAGCTTGGAAGGTTGTAGGGCTGTTTGAAGACCAGAAGAGGGAAATGCACCACAAAACCAATTATATACCTGAGATATATCAAAGATATTTTCATCTTCTGGACAGATGACAAACTGCCTCATAGATTTCCACCACTTCAACAACCACTACATGTCCATTAAACTCGCTCTGGAACACTCCCACACCAGCATCAAGTTCCTGGACACTAAGATCAGCTTCAACAGTAGAATCATGTGAACAACTATATACAGGAAACCCATGGATTACCACACTTTCCTTCATAGATCCAGTAAGCACCCCAAACACATCAAGAAAAATATTTTCTACAGTCAGGCACTCAGATACCACAGAATATGCTCTGAGGAGGAAGTCCAAGATATACACTTTACCACACTCAAAATCGCCTTCACTGAACAAGGACACCCCACCAGAGAAGTAGATCATATCATGGAACAGGCCACCCAAATACCCTGAGAGAGCCTGCATTAATACAGAAATAAAACTCCTGACCACACTCCCACCTGCCACCCCACCATGGAACCCATACGGGGGATCATCAAACAACTTCAACCCATACTCGATGGGGACCCCATTCTGAAAGAAATCTTCCCAGAGCCTCTTTTTTTGGCCTTCATACAACCTGCCAACCTCTCCAAGCTGATTATCAGAAGCAAGCACCTCACAGACCAGGACACACCAACTCAAAGCAGCACCAGACCCTGCCAAAAGTACAGATGCAAAACCTGCAGACATACCTCCACTGCTACGGTGATCAACACCCTCCCATCCACAATACACCTTTTAAGATCTATGGCTTCTACGCATGCCTACCACCACCATAAATGCTAGAACTAGGGGTGTGGAGAGTGCTCTAGCACCCCCAGGCTTAAAGTGATTTCTGTTAGAGACACAGTTTACAGTTTGGTTCAATGGCTCTCAGCACCCCACTATACAAATTGTTCCAACACCCCTGATCACAAGAAGTGGTGTACCTCACGCAGCGCACTAAATGCCTCAATAACTATGTGGGTGAAACCAATCACGGAAGAGCTCTGTGTAGCTTGAAAGTTTGTCTCTCTCACCAACAGAAGTTGGTCCAACAAAATATATTACCTCACCCATCTTGTCTTTCTAATATGCTAAATGATTTGATAGGCACAACCTGAACTCCTATGCAATGATGCTTGAGTCTCCCATGAAATATGAGGCTGAAGGCACCAACTATTTGGCATCTTCATTGATCAAGCACACGATTCATTACCTAATCATTTTAATAGCTATAATCTTTATAAATTATGCTATTTAATCCCTGCTTCCATTCCCCCCCTCAAAACACCACCACCACCACCCTCACACACTAAAGAAACTACAGATCTGAAACAATGTTGAGAGTACGGGGCTGAAGCAGAGTAGCAAATAAATTGCTAGTAATGCTCTATTAAAAAAGCACCACTATCAAGTTATTTGAAATTAATTTGGTGTCAAGGTTTGAAAAAAATCTGCATATCCACTCACCAAAGAAAAGAAGAAAACTTTTCAGGTAAATTGGGGGAGGAAAAAGCCAGGCCATCAGTTTCTCTAAAATTTAAAATTTTAAAAAATGATCTTCCTAACCCTTCTGGCTAGAATAGTAAACTTCCAAATAAACTAATGAGAGGCACTCTTCTTGAGTCTACATGGAGACAGAGCTTGTAGCTTTCCCAAGCAGCAGCAGCAGCAGCCAGGAACAAGATATGCAGTAGTTTCACTGCTGCTACTCAGGATTGCAGGCCGTTGAGAAACTGATAAGAAACATGCCAATTTCACATTGCTGTTGCAGAAAGTTATGAGGAGCAAGGGAGACTGTAACTAGAACAGTTCACAACAAAAACTGGAGTGGCCAACAAAAACAATGGCTGGGGGAAGGCAAAATATTCTTTCCTGTCCAGAATACTAGGGGAGAGGCAGAATAGTCCAGATGGTTTGACTTGATAGTTCATGGCTTTTTATGTCTGATTTGGATACTCTGGTATACTTTTATTATTGCAAGAGTGGCCAAAGCCATGGGATAGGTGCTTTTAACAAATCAAAATAAATATACAAGAAGAGTGAATCGTGTCCAGGTGATGAAGCGCTACTTCACTAACAGCAAAAATAGCATCAACACCATAAGAGGCAGTTAGTACATAGAATACATAGAAATTAGAAACATTAACCTCTTCTCCCCAATAGAATTAGAAAGACTGGTTTAGAAGCAAAGATTAATGTAACTGAACAGTTATGTCTTGGAAAACTCTAGGGAGGAAGTAACCAAAGGTCAGTAAGTCATCTAGAGTTTTGGACTCTGTAGTCTAATAAGGTTGTACAAAGTTTGACATTAGAGCCTGCAAAGTCTAAGCGTGTGTGGTGCAACTGCTTTTACCTCTTTCTTTAACTGGATATATGACAGGTTTTAAACCCCTACTACTGGTAATGACTGTCTGAAAATAATCAGCAATGGTCTAGATTCTTAAATAAGCCGGAAACTTTTCTTCAAACTCTTACTTACCCATGGTGGATTTCTCTTTAGGAAAGGGCTCTGTAGCCTTGTTGAGAGCAGCTAGTGAGGACCTCACTGCTTTAACAGTATAGTTAGGCTATTAAGATCCCTAGAGCTGGGGATGTAGTCTGCTTTGTCCTTTTATTGGGCTTGACAAGTGACACAACTAGAGGAAAAGCTCCACCTGTGTTCCATCCAGGGTTCACCCTAGTTAGAGAGGGAGCAATAAAAAAGACCTAGAAAATAGACAAGGTTGATTTATATTGAGGGGATTAGTTGATCCTGGGAATTTAGGGCCAGTCACATAAAAATATCATCTATGTTGTTTTGTATGGGGGTTCAAGTGCTGTGGGTATGTTTGCTGTTTCTAATTGATTTGTGGATTCATCTGCAAAGTGTTTTTCATTAAAGAATTGTGTTTAGCCACCTTATGTCTTCTTCCCCCACAAGCCAGGATATCTGCAAAGCATTTTAGATTATAAACTCTTTGGGACTGAGACCATTTCTTCCTACACATGTCTTTAGTGCTCGACCTGTAAGTACTGATCCTGCAAAGAGGTGACTCCCTGGGCTCATGCAGAGCTGCTTCACTGACTTCAGTACTGGGTTCTGTGTGGGTGCAGAGGGTCTACCCATGCAGAGTCCATTGAAGGATTGGAACCACTGTTAGCATTACACAGATATGAATAATCTCTGCTACCACAGTGAGACATAACCACCTACAAATATTTGAAAGATGTAGAAGCCCAAGAAGGGAGAGGAACTGTTTAGGATGTTCCTAGGGATTGTAGTTAGAAGGAAGGGGACACATATGAGTAAAAAGAACTTTCAGCAGACTCAGAAAAATTTCCTGAGGGTGAGGTCTGTTTCGCAGGCATAATCTCTCAAAGGAAGTGGTGGAAGCTCCATTGCTTGACAAATAGACAAAACAGTATATAGTGTAAGGAATCGTCTTGCTTTGGTTCCCGTGGGATGGGCAAATGAACAAATAATTCATTTCTGTTTTCTATTATTCTACTGTAGTAGACCAATACCCACATGCCAACATTCACACAGACACATCTTTATGCAATTTGCACAGCGAGGGGGTGTATTCTGTCCCTCATTGTGTGGGGAATTTACACATGTGACTCCCATTAGCATTAACAGAAGCTATGTGCATAAATTTCCCCTTTGTGGCTGGATTGGGTAGATGGGTTAGTATCTGGCTTTCCTGGTGGATTGGAACCTGTATTTTTCCAAATAATCTGATCTGTATAGGCTGTGATACTTTCAACCCTTTTTTGTGCGAATGCATTCTATTGTCCTTCAGCTGTGATATCCAAGCATGCTTTGAGACTCTTCTGTCACCCTAAATCCCTGCCAGCAGCACAGCACAACTACAGTTCTAATGAGATTACAGCTACAGATGCCCCACTGCTGCCATCTGGCCAAGGAACAGAACAAATGCCAAATTGAGTGGGGGGGAGGAACCCTTTTGCTCTCATCCAAGCAGACTACAGCATGATAGGGATTCCAAGACCATCACAGTGAACTAACTCCCTTTGAGACTTCTTTTCCTTTTTAAATGAAGCGTTGTGTCCTTCTTGCAGAATGCTAGATTCTATTAATTTTACAGGAAAAAAAAATAAAATAAGATGCTGTTCTATACAACAGGGAACTTTACAGATCTCTAAATTTTATCCACAATGGATATGTCTTCCCTGCCTCTTTGAGTAATTAACAATCATTTGCTGTCAAACTGGGAGAGGGTATCTACTGGGGGCTTCACAGGGGTCAGTTCTGCGGTATGCTACTATTCAATATTTTCATTAATGACTTGGATAATGGAGTGGGGAATACGCTTATCAAATTTGCAGATGACACCAAACTGGAAAGGGTTGCAAGCACTTTGGAGGACAGGATTAGAATTCAAATTAACCTTGACGAATTGGAAAATTGGTCTGAAATCAACAAGATGAAATTCAATAAAGACAAGGGCAAAGTACTTCACTTAGGCCAGGTCTACCCTACAGATCTGTATCAGTACAACTATATCACTAAGGGGCATGGGCCGCGGGTATAATAGGCTGGATAAGGCTGTGCCTCCACAAACAGCCCCGTGTGGCTCCACCCCCAGGCCCCCTCCTGCCTCCCTTTCCCCCTTGGCCCCAGCCCAGGCAGGTGGCTCCTCTCTTTCGGGGAGCCTGCTGGGGCTTGGGCCGCCCAGTGCTGGGCCAGGGGCCTGGCACTGGAGCTGCACCGCCCAGCGGTCCAGGGCTGGGGGCTCCAGGGTTGGGGAACCAGGCCCCTGATGATGGGGTTAGGGTGCTGGGGGGGGACGACATACCACCCACCTAGCGCTCCGGGACTGGAGGCACTTGGGTGGCCCAGGGCGGGGGGTGGGAAGGGCTCTGGGCTTCAGCAGGGGAGTGGGGACAGGAGTGGTAGGGCCTCAGGTGGAAAAGGTGTGCCATGCTGGGGGCTAGCCTCCCCGAGCCCATGGTTCACCCACTGCCCAAGCTAAGGGATGTGAAAAATTCACACCCCTGAGCAACATAGTTATACTGACTTAACCCTCCATGTACACAGCGCTATGTCGATGGGAGAGCTTCTCCCACCGACATAGCTACTGCCTCTCATGGAGGTGGATTAACTACGCCGATGGGAGAAGTTCTTGTGGAGCTGCACTGTTGTAGTGTTATCCATGAAAACAAGCCCTTAGGAAGGAAAAATCAAATAAATTATTCACAATGGAGAATAACCGTCTAGATGGTAGTACTGCAGAAAAGGATCGAGGGTTGTAGTGGATTGCAAATTAACAGGAGCGTTGTAAGTAAGACATGGGAGGTAATTGTCTGGCTCTGCTCCGCACTGGTGAGGCCTCAGCTGGAGTACTGAGTAGAGTTCTGGGAGCCCCATTTTAGGAAAGATGTGGACAAATCAGATAGAGTCCAGAGGAGAGCAACAGAAATGATAAAATGTTCAGAAAACATTTGACCTATGAGGAGAGGTATAAAAAACTGGGAATGTTTAGTCCAGGGGTTCTCAAACTAGGGGTCGTGACTCCTCAGGGGGTCATGAAGTTATTATGTGTGGGGTCGCGAGCTGTCAGCCTCCACCCTCAAACCACACTTTGCCTCCAGCATTTATAATCCTATAAATATAAAAAATGTGTTTTTAATTTATAAGGGGTTCGCACTCAGAGTCTTGCTGTGTGAAAGGGGTCACCAGTTCAAAAGTTTGAGAACCACTGGTTTAGTCTGAGAAAAGAAGACTAAGGTGGGACCTGATAACAATCTTTAAATATACTGAGGGCTGGTATAAAGAGGACAGTGATCAATTTTTTCCCATGCCCATGAAGGTAGGACAAGAAGTAATTGGCTTAATTTGCAGCAAGGGAAATTTAGGTTAGATATTAACGAAAATCTTTTTAACTATAAGGACAGTTAAGCAATGGAATAGACTTCCAAAGAAATCCCTGTAACTGGAGGCTTTTAAGAACAGGTTGGATGAACCTGTCAATGATGATCATCCTGTCAGGGACAGTCTAAGTTTACTTGGTCTTGGCTCAGCATAGGGGGCTGGATATTTGATGACCTCTTGAGGTCTCCTCTAGCCCTACATTTCTATGATTCTATGATCATGCTACTGCGGACCAATGGCAATCCTTTCTGCTTTATTCCAGTCAACAGCTGGTGTATTTGTTGCATAAGTTCTTTGATTTCAAGGGACTCAAACAAATACATTTATATAACAGAGGCTGGAAGCATGAATCCAAATACTCCAGTTTTTGGATTCTACTGCACTCATTGGCTGGCAGTATAAATGCTGGCACAAATGCACTGCTGTTTGGATCTTGCAGCTCCGAGTGCAAATCCCAGCACTGATATGCTTGTGTGCATATCTCAGATGTAGGAAGTATGAACCCTGGTACTGGTGTGTGGATCCCGCAGGATTCAGTAGTTAGGAATGTAAACCTGGTAATAATGCCTTGTGGATTTTATGTGAAGCAAATTAAAAGAGCTAGGTAACAAAGGAAATTGTTTCCCCTGAAAAAGAAGAAAACCCAGAATCTTACAATTAATAACAGACAATAAACCCCTTTTTCCTTTGACTCTGTAAAATGCAATCTGGACCAATACTCACACAGCAGGACTGTAATAGATGCCTCCTTCTTAAATTCCTCCCTGACAGGTACAGTGCTCACAGTTCAATAGCCTCTCATCTCCAAATGAAGGCCCTCTCCCCACTCCTCTGCTCAAACTCCGATTCTGCACAGGCTCATCTTTGGAAACTGCACAATCCGTTTGTTCTATCGCAGGGGGCACAGGATCATTAAAAGCAACTGGAACCTGGGGTGCTCATCTCCTTGTATAAGCTCTTCCCAGAGCATCTCAGCTCGGTCTTGCAGAGACGGTGTGATGATGTCCTGGATGCCATTCGTCATTGTTGTCCTGGCAACAGAGATGTGGTCTCTTGTGGTATGGTAACACAGAGGTAACGGCAGGACAGAAAATACTGTAGACCCCTCTTCTGAAGCATCCTCAAAACATCCCCCATGTACAATCTGTACATTATAAATACTTTTATTTTTCTATAAATGCTTTTTTTTTCTTTAGTTACTCAATTTTTTTTGTTTGAATTGCAGGCTCCAGCATATCCCTGTAAGTCCTGTTTCTGTGGTCTGACAAACCTGACATATCCCTGAGAGAGCCTGTCATTTCCTTTGGGAAACAATGCTGCCATCTGACATCAGAGAAACCTTGCTTTGGAAAATATCTGAGCAGCAACACAAGCTTACAAGTATCTGAAGAGGTGTTAGCAGGAAGGATGGGATGCAGCTTTGGGTCTCTGAGCAAGGGAGGAGCAGATGAATTAACATTTGTGACAGTGAAAGAGAATACAAGAGCCAGAGTATTTTCCTAAAAAGAAAAGGAGTACTTGTGGCACCTTAGAGACTAACCAATTTATTTGTGCATAAGCTTTCGTGAGCTACAGCTCACTTCATCGGATGAAGCTTATGCTCAAATAAATTGGCTAGTCTCTAAGGTGCCACAAGTACTCCTTCTCTTTTTGCGAATACAGACTAACACGGCTGTTACTCTGAAACCAGTATTTTCCTAGTGTCTCTGCCAGTGATTCAGAGAGAGGGACAGGCTAAGGCTGCTTCCATAGCTACAGGGATCTATAACCCATGTTAGCCAGAGCCTCTTTTCTGCTGCCCTCTGAATTGAATAATCTTGAAAGTACCCTTTCAATATCTTAAACAAGATATATTTTACTACTTGTTCTAAAAATGTCATTTACAGAAGGGTCACAAATAGAATATTACTACTTATTTTAATGTCGCTGTTCACAGTGCCACCTGCTGGCAGAGGCTGAGACAGCAGCTGCTGTGAACTAGGGCAATAGTTTCTAAAATCATGCTCTACAGCATCTCCTGTTGGGAAAAATTAGGACTGCAGGAGCTGGCATTGTTTTCTGGACAATGAACAATCTTGCATACCGAGCAAGATTTTGCAGTCTTGTCTGGATTCTGGAAAGCAAACCGCGGATAGTGAATCAATACCATTTGTTTGCAAGTCAGACTATTTCTTTAATCACATTGTCTTATTAAAACTCTATTACTAGCTCTATGTTACTTTCCTTGTTATTCTTTCCTAATGCCAACTGTTTCTTCTAGAGGACTAGATTTCCTCTCAGGACACTGATAACAAACACAACTCTGTATGTGCCTGTGGGAGGAGAAGAGAAAAAAAATCTGTTTTACTTTGACAAAGCTCACTCCGCTCACTTTTGTGTCAGATTGTGTGAGCTCACTGTCTCTCTCCAGCAGCAGCCAGTCAGCAACTCCTTGGATGGGGACAAGCTTCAGGATTCCAAATTATTACTGTTGGAGAGTCTGTCACGACAAAGGGCTCAGTGGCCTTTGGGGGGGAAAACTTACTCAGAACAGTATTGCTGACCCCAAGGATTCAAAAGTCATGAGTCAAGCCCCCCAAAATCATAACCTTGGCTTAAAAATCATTAGATTTTAAAAGCAACAAAGTTTGGGTCGTTTTATTTGCCCGTTTCTTGAGCTTTTAGGGTTCCTGTTTTCCAGCTTTTCTCCAAAACCACTAGGGCTAGAAATGTAATGGTTTTAAAATGAAGTTTAGATTCTCATGTAATTTAATGATTCTGGAACCTGGAACTTCAAGATAAAACACCAAATACTGCGAATCTTGTGACAAAATTGCTAGAGTGGGCAACTCTGTGTTATTTACCACTGTAAAGCAAGTAAATTTTTCCAGGGCTGGTTCTTGTAAACCTGAGGCCCCCTATGCCATTTGATGGCTTCCCCACCACTCCTCCAGATGGCCTTTGTGAAATGAATTGGTGGTCTCCATTCAGTTCCTACTAACTGAATGGAGACCACCAATTCATTTCACAAAGGCCATGTGCCATGTCACAAAAACTCACACTAGGTATGTGCCATGTCACAAAAACTCACACTAGGACTGGCATTATATCGCCTCTTTGTGGGTAGTCTCACATGAGCATGAAATAGGAATAGAGACTGAACTACCCTCTCAGTCCTAGGAAGGGAAGGTGCTAGGTCAGGGGTGGGCAAACTTTTTGGCCTGAGGGCCACATCTGGGTATAGAAATTGTATGGCGGTCCATGAATGCTCATGCAATTAAGGTTGGGGTGCAGAACGAGGTGAAGGCTCTGGCTGGGGGTGCAGGCTCCAGGGTGGGGCAAGAAATAAGGAGTTCAGGGTGTGGAAGGGGGCTCCAGGCTGGAGCAGGGGGTGTGTGGTGTGAGGGAGGGCTCTGGCTGGGGGTGTGGGCTCTGGGGTGGGGCTGGGGTGAGGAGTTTGGGGTGCAGGAGGATGCTCCAGGTTGAGACTGAGGGGTTTGGAGGGGGGATCACGGCTGGGGCAGGGGGTTGGAGCATGGGGGCTCAGGGGTGCAGGCTCCAGGCAGCGCTTACCTCAAGCAGCTCCCGAAAGCAGCATGTCCCCCACTCCAGCTCCTACGTGGAGGTGCAGCCAGGTGACTCTGCTGCGTGCTGCCCCATCCACAGGCACCGCCCCTGCGGCTCCCATTGGCCGTGGTTCCCAACCAATGGGAGCAGCACTTGGGGAGGGAACAGCATGCAGAGCAGAGCCCCCTGGCTGTTCCTATGCTTAGGAGCCGGAGGGGGGACATGTCACTGCTTCTAAGAGCCATGGGGAGCTGCCCCCAACCCTGCTACCAGGCTGGAGCGCTGGAGTGGGGCAAGCTGCAGACTCTACTCCCGAGCAGGAGCTCGAGGGCCAGATTAAAATGGGAGGCGGGCCGAATCTGGCCCGCGCGCCATAGTTTGCCCACCCCTATGCTAAGTACATTTAATTAAACTTGGTCTATCTTGCAGACTCCCTCTCCTGCCCTGGGAATGTTGTGGCTGTGCTGATGGGAAAGGCCTCCTGCATCTGTGAATGTAAAAGCTTTCCAAATAAAGCTGCCCCCTAGCTAAGGCTGTCTTGAGCAGGGGAGGTTTTCAAGGTTTGAGGGCAGCCAGGGAGCTGTGACTGGGCACTGTTAGACTGTTTCCTTCTGCTGCTGTCTCCTAGCAGCCGCAGGACCCTCGGGAGGTGTTTAATGGGATCAGGAGGCCTCCTCTGCTCCATCACTCACCAAGAAGGGTACAAAAATGACAGCCGCTAATGGGCAGCGGCTTTCTCATCAGCTGCCTCATCAGAGTGATTTGATGAGCAAAAGGCTGCAATGGCTAAAGGACTGGAATTGACACAGACGACTGGATCCATGCCAGCCCAGAAAGAACATGTTCCTGTGCATGCCCACTTCATTCCTCCAGCCACATGCAAATCAAGAGCTACAGTAAATGTACATTCATGGAACTACCCAGGCTGCATACACAGGTAGAGGCACTTGACATTTTTTCTTCCCATCTTTTTCCCCTTCATATTAGGAGGCATAAGGAACTTCCACATGAATAAAGGAAAGGAGGACTTGTGGCACCTTAGAGACTAACCAATTTATTTGAGCATGAGCTTTCGTGAGCTACAGCTCACTTCATCGGATGCTTGTCAATGAAGTGAGCTGTAGCTCACGAAAGCTCATGCTCAAATAAATTGGTTAGTCTCTCAGGTGCCACAAGTCCTCCTTTTCTTTTTGCGGATACAGACTAACACGGCTGCTACTCTGATTCCACATGAATGTTCATTCATCCACTCAATGTCCAAACCATGTTTCTTTTTGTCACACTGCCAGTGGCTTGGACACGGGAGCCTTTTATTAGTAGCTGTGAGCGTTCTGGTGTCCTGCTTTGAGTGGGAGCAACATACAGCACGTTGGGTGCTTTCCTGGTCCTGTGCAGAGAGCCCCACCTGGGAGGGATGGGGGGCAGTCCCTTCCTGGTTGCAGTTAGAACCTCCCCCAAATACTGACACAGAGTTTACAAGAAGTTAGCTAACTGCTCCCAGGAGAGTGTTTCACAAAGAGGAATGGCCATATGGAGTTAGTCCAGGACTAGAGAGAGCAGTAAGGACTTTTTACAAAATAGATTGGTGAATTGGGCATGAGAAATATTTGTAAGGATGTGTCTTGGTTGAGGATCAAGGGGCTGGTGAGTCTGGGGGAGCAGACTGGGTGAGGTGAGGGGGTAGAAGGAAGGACTGTGTGCAGACTAAAGGAGGGGGTGTGTTTATATGACAGTAGGGAGTGTGAGTGTTTGTAAAGGGAGTGACAGTAGGAGGACAATGTTCATGTTTGCATGAATCATGGAAGTTAGAATTACAGATGGGGAAAAAAAGCGCTTTTCTCCCATTCTTCCACTCAGCCAGCACCGAGTTTTTCAAATAGTATATCACTTAAGTACATTGAATCAAAATCTATACTAAAACTTATCTTAGATATTTCTAAAGTGTATATCACCTTCCTATCCAAGCATCACACAAGATTATCCAGCTATATTACATCTACTCTGTTATCTTCACCCATCAATGTGGTAATTCTGTCAAAAAAGTAAAAATGTGTGTGGCAAGTTTTGCTTTTTTACAAACACATATTCCTTTTTGCTCATGGTATTGTTATCCTCTGGATAGTTTTTTTTCTTTTAATACATGCTCCATTTAGTAAGGTTTGAAGTAAGGCTTATTAGATAGTTATTACCAGAGTTGTTCTTTTCTTTTTTTGAAGATTGGGAATTTTTTTTACTCACCTTTCTTTTGAAATCCTCAAGCACACCTGTTCATAATTTTTGATTGTCGATTATGTTTGCAATCCATTAGAATTCCACTAGCCCTATAACATGCAATATCATTGGGATGCGGTCTTTGTATATGTTTAATTTTTCTAAATATTTCCACGCCTGCATTTCATAGTTAGATTAGACACGTCTTTGTTACGTCCTAAATTGTTCACAACTCTTATTGTTGTTAAAGACAGATTTTAAAAAGAAGTTCAGT